TTTAGAATAATTTAGTTGAGATTGAATCGCGTCAAATAGAAGAAAATCCTTCTCTAATGGTTTAGCATTTGGATTATATATCTGGTAGCTTGTAAGCTTTCTATAACCTTTTTTAATCCAAGGACTTGCATCTATCTTTCGTTCACCTACAGGGAAATCATAGGCATTCACATCTGTTTGAGTAAAAGTTACTATCATTTCGTAATTCATTTTATAATTCCAATAATACAACCCACCGCCAAGCAAACTCAGGAATACAACAACTGTAATCCACCAACGCGTCTTATTACTTTTTAAATCGATAACTTTGTAAACCATTCTTTAATCCCGTTGGTGTTTCCCCTGATGTCGGCAAGTGCCATGCCCCCAGTGGCATAATTGGGCCATCACCAGTTTTTTTATTCGCCTCTCGTTGAGTTATAGCTTCAGCACGTTCTTGTTTTAACTCATAACTCAACCGTAAGAACTCACTTGGTGGTGTCTTTGAACGACCACTAGCATAATCCCTTTGCTGTTGTTTATATTTATCACCCTTTAATTTTGCTTCACTCGCTTCAGCAGTTTCTTTATCCGTACCATATGTCCCGGCATAAGAACTTCTCTTCTCAAAAGCAAATACCGTCACTTTCCAAGCGTTTGCCATCTTCTGCGCTAAACTCTCTTCAGGGTGTGCCTCAATGGAATTAGAAAAACTGCTACCATCTCGCCCAATACCTGTACGGCAAGCGTAAGAAATGACCTCCGCATCATAATGAAAACTTGATGACTTCACCTGAGTGATTAGTTCACTGGTCAACTCCCCTTGTTCCTCACGATCACCGTCATAATGAAAGCAAATCTTTCCCACGACACCATGACTAAAAAAGACTAACTTTCGTATATAACGTTGCTTTTCAATGCGTTGATTTAAGAAATGTATTAGCTCTTGTACATTTTTGACATAAACAATTCGAGCATCTAAATCTTCGGTATATCCATTAATCCGTTGAATATCGTTGTAGGTATAGCCCTGTTGAAACACGACAAGAATTCTTTGCTTCTTATCATTGTCAGGAATAGGTTCAGGAAAAATACGAATTTGTAGCAACCCTTGATTAATAAAACGATACTGATTGCCAATACTTGAATGAAAAGCACGTCTAATCGCAAGTGGGTCATCGAGTGGGGATACTAAAGAACTGGTTCTTGCACCAACAACCGCAATATAATCTTCTTTATCCGAATAAAATACTTCCTGTATCGGTAAATCTGTGCCTGTCTTG